CATCACATCTGTCTCTACTTTAAGCTAGACTCTAAACCTATCTATTGTCCAAGCATACCAATAAGTCACTGTGTGTTTATATGACCACGTGGTTGGCTGTACGGCTATGTTTTTATCATTAATTTGTTTTTTTGTGTGATTGAATGTTTGACTTCTATGTGGTGTATCTGATTCCTGTTGGTTTATTGATCTGATTTCTGTAACTTATTCATAATTTTGCTCCCTTGTATTCCATGAGGACTGTCAAACGATTTACATTTTTAATCGTGATTAATCATGTATTTAATTATTTGCATTTAAAAATAAAATGGGCTTTGATTTTGAAATTTTGTAATGTCTTACAAACAGAGAGTTCTTGACTTACTCTTTGAATTCAAACCTGCTTTTGTTTTGAAATAAAGTAAGGACCTTCTAGTAGATTGAAGGTTTAAGACATTTAGATAACTGCAGAAAAAGGAACTCGTTACTGATCAAAATCGCTGCTCCATATTCCTATGTTTTAACCCTCCTTGTAAAGCACATTGAGCTTGCCTGTAATGAATTGAGCTCTAAAAGTACAATTTCTATTGAAATATTGCTTTGCTGGCTACTAAAAGCTTGAAGTTAATTAAGTATGGATAGGTTTAGGATTTGGATAACGTTTTGTTTATGCTCTGAGTTTCAAAAATGTGAATATTTCACAGGAAAGAAAAAGGGGGATTTAGCTTTAAAACATGTTAGGTATAAAACATAGAGATATCTGACCATGTAGCAGAGGAAGATGGAGTTCGGCTTTGGTAAATGTATTTTTTCACTACCTCTTATCATAGAGAGGCTTTTCAATATTGGGGAGGCTGTATTTACTGATAGTGGCATATGCAACTCTAGACAGGAAACTTTCCACTTAAACACATATTTGATAAGCTCAAAGCGAGATAAATGTGAACGTGAGCAGAAGTAGCTCACCAGAAACAAATCCAACTTTCATACTAACAATCCCACACCACACTGCTAAAAACACACCGGCCCCTCTCTGGGTTAAGGTGTACAAGAAAAGCAATGTACTCTTTATTATATAAGTTCTCCAGCAGCACCCACACACAGCTCGTGTAGTTTGTATTTTTGTAGTCGGAGAGCAGATCACATGGAGCCTCCACAGTAGTGCTGCTGCTCGACCTTAGCTTGAAGAGGAGCTAGAATAGTCTTTCTGCCTAGGGGAGGATGGGGGCGGTTTGATGGGGACAGTGTGGGGGGTATTGGAAGCTGGGTGCAGGAGGGGTGGGAGTAGAGGGGAAATGTGCATCATTGGTCCCATGACTCAGTTTGCCTCCCTGAACAATCTGCACCCTGAGGGGCTGTAAAAGTTCTATCAAGTAAGTAGGCCATGTAGCTGCATGTACACAGGGGAATAAGACCCAGGGGTGCCCCATGATCAGCCACTCTTTCTTATTCCCAAATGTACCGTGTAGCTTCCTTTACACTTACATGACCTTCTGTTATTATGAGTTTCCACCAGTGTGGACCACAGAATTGATGCTGACACTCCTGCATAAGAAAATGTTTTCAACTTAGTTCAAATTGATCTCATTGTTATGAAGGTCTGGACCTTTTCTCTCCGTGTTGGCTCATCATCCTCCCTCAGTGTTTCTGCATAACATGGCACTAAATTCCAGTCTGCTCAGCATAAATCATGCTGGAGGTGTTCCAGGCTCTTGCTGTCGATGTTTATGAGGTATTAAAGTGCGTCGACTCTGTCTCATTTACCTACAAATTACCACAGAGCAATGGGCCGGTGTGTTTGCAAAATGAGCTGAGTTTTCTTGTGGCCTGTGATCTGCTGCATTGAGCAGGAGACAATAACAGCTTTTATGACAATGAGTCAGGGCTGGACTGCGAACAAAATTTGATTCTGGTGTTGTTCAAACCGGCCCCTGACAATTTGCAAAAACATCATCAAGTTATCACTATCCATGTTGATTTTAAAAGTCTATTACATTATTTCCCCAAAGCATTACCAAACTGAGAAGCAATTCCCATAGGCGTGTCTAGAAGGGCGGCCAGGAGTGGCATTGGCCCCCCTTGAAATCTGATTGGCCACCACAGGTGCCACCCCAAAAATCCTAAACTATGATCGGCTCTCTGCCTTGTCAGAGGTGGGTCGTTTGTTAACACAACGGTTCTAGCTTCTTCTAGAACAAGTAAAGTAGTTTTCTTTACTTGTAAATGTAGCATATTATATTATGTTCTATATATCTTTAATAAATACCCTGCACATCAATTTTATAAGATAGGTGCGTAACACTGTATTGTAATGAACTAAAAAGCTATTTTTGGGTACTGAAACATCGTCTTTAAGTGCATTTGCAAGTTTTTCATCAGCTTAAATAGTCACTTTGAACATCTTTGTTTCAGAGTTCTTAAAAAAAGGGTGAGATGGTTAATGTTCAGCTCTTGGGTTACATAAAAGTAGATTAGATTAGTGGTTGTAAGAAAGCGTAAAAAATGTGATTCTTGTGTATGCGGGCTCCCCAAAACATGTCTGCGCCTTATTGTGATGAACGCTTATCCTTCATAAAATCAAAACAGATGAGTTATAAATTATACTGCGTCAGCCCAACAGGAAAATGCCCAGTATGCCAGATGACTAGTCTCATACCAACTCAGTTTTCCAGAATAAGTTCATATTTTTTATCTTATTACGAGAAGCAAGACATTACGAGAGGCCAGAGAGTTAGGGCTTCATAAACACTGTTTTCAGGCCAAGACATGATTAGATTGCCAGGATATTTCTCTCTCTGTCTTTTGCTTATTGATTTTTTGATTTTCCAGCCCAGTGCATCTTAGACTATCAAAATGTATGTTACACTTAAAAACACTCAAAATATCCATTAGTGGAATAAGTAATGCTGTTTTTCAGGCTTGTTTTTCCCTTGACATCTTCATTGTTAAACATTTTTTCAGGCTTTAGTTTATTCCAAACATCACTTTCACCCATTAGCACACTTATAGTCAATGTCACAGTGACAAGCTCAAAGCTGCCCAAAGCATTTTTTTCATAAAAAAAACCAAAAAACAACAACAACTTTAGAGTGCTGTGCATCATTCGCCTCCTAAACATTGCCCCTAATCCAGAATATTTCACATAGATCATTCGTCTTCGCAAAGTCCTTGTTTAGGATAGTGAGTTATGCTCTCTAATCCGGCAGGTTTTCACTTGATTTAAGATCATTCTCAGCCTTGTTGGTTGCAAGGCTCTAGGGATTGCATACTCAAGTCTGTCAGCCACACACATTCAGAGAGAAATATCTTCAATTGAGCTGTAAAACGGATCGAAAAAAAAGTTTTTGGGAGCTGCTCAGACTTTCAAGATACCTATAGGGAAACTCCTAATGACTTCAGAGCTGCCCTGACCCTCACTGTGTTTCCAGAAGGCTTTGGTTGTTGTCAATGACAAGTCTCCACTAGTATAAAATGCTAGCCTGACATGAATGGGAATTTGTCTGGAAGCTCAATTCTGTTTTTGTTTTTGCAAGACGTTATCCCCGCACGCAGACCGAAAATGCCTTTGCGTGCAACTGGTAGACTCAAAACCAGTCAAAGCAACAACAAGAACGTGCAGTAGCGCTGACCTCAGCTAGCTGGACAGTAAATAAATCATGTATGAGGAAAACATCCTCAACAAAAGGTCAAAGTGCATCTGTTTTTTTCTCTTTCTAGAGAAGATATAGCATCCATTGTGTTATATACTGTATCAGTGGTAAATAAATGATGATGTAGCTAATCTAAGAACAAGTCGAGCAAAAGGCTGCAAAGAAAGACAAACCAAAGTCTAGTTCAACACAATGCACAATAGTAATGTATCAATTTTCTAATTTTCAGGCAAATTATACAAACATTCCGGTTTCCTTGTGGATGAATTTTTAAATATCTGACAGTTTCATGTTTCATGGTCATAATCAGTTCAACATCATGATTATTTGAGCCTTTGGTTTATACCTTAAATAAAAAAACAAAAACAAATGGTATTCCCATCAGCCCAGCTATAGTGCTTAGTGCTGAGTAGCACATTTTAGCATGCTGATATGGTTTAGATGGTAAAAGTCAAATCTTAACATAAGTCATAGTGAGCTTGTTAGCAGGAGGGAAGTAAGCACTTCGCTCAATCATCTGAATAATGCAGACTTTCACGTTTCAAGTTTTTGTCCTGAATAAGACAAAATCGCACAAAAATACTTTAGGTGCGCCTCATGTAGTCTACTCTGTGACATCTTACATCCATTAAGTTGCTGTTGGCCTGCATCATGTTTAAAAAAAAAAAGGCACTGTTCCTTCACATTGTTTCCCTTGGGTTTCCACTGCTTGAGAAGGAAAGTGTTTCACTTTGATCATACATAATTCACACTCACTGAACTCTCTGGCCGGGCCTTAAAATATTCACCTTAAGCACTTTTTGTGTACATGTCACTTCAGGTCCCTTGTTCCTTTGCTGCTGCTGCTGCTGTTCATCAATTACACATTTGTACGCCTCTAACTGAGCCGTTTATTATCTCCAGAGGAGAACCACTATGTGTGAAAAAGAAAACCCATCTCAAACAATGTCAACGAATTTGTCATTAACCACTGAATACTAGTCCTTCACAGTCACATCCTGTCCAAAAGGATCTGTCTGAATGTCTAACCGTGTTTACTGGCGACCAAAGTCAGTGTTTGCACTCTTTTATTCATAGGTTTGTTTTAAAACTTGTAAACAAGTATCTGGAACAAGGTACAAGTGTAGAGAAAAGAGACGCCTGATGTCATGCAATGCGTGACTAGCTGGTTTTGCACTTTTGAAAAGTTAAAACTCTAAAATAATATGCATCTAGTTGACCTATTGTTTCCCTCTTTCTGAGAGGCCTACTTTAGAGATTAAATGTTGATCCTCTGTGAGTGCTGACCGTCGTCTCTCTTTTCTTTTTAATTAGCTGTAACACAGTTAATGGAAACCAATAAGGTGTGTTTCTTTCTGCATGTTTTCCCAGGTTGCATTTCACCTCCAACCGTACAGAGGACGAAACGACCAGACTGTGCATGACAACATCAAATATATCATCGACAGGTAGGTCTGTCTGGCTGTCGGGCTGCACACTCTATCTCTCAGTCAAACAGAATCAAATCAAGATTTCATACACAGTTGGAAAAAAAAAAAGTGTGGTTTCAAAGCCGAGACACTTTCAGATAAAAGCTTTTCTGATTATGTAATGACAGTTTTGTCATGACTTATGAAAAGGTTTTTGAGGCAAAAAATACTTTTCTGGTTTGAAAAGTAGGCAGCTGTGGAGTACATGCATACTCCACTCCCCAAACCCCTCAAAGACATTACATTTTAAAGTGCTTAAAAACACCAAATAAAGTCTTATTTTGCCAAGAAAAGTGGAAGACTGACACATTTTCTTCTCTTTTTGATGCACACCAAAAGAATGTGCATGTCCTTTTCAATTTGCAGAAATTGAGTCGGTTACTCTCTGACCCTTTCATCAGAAACATTTTACAGGGGCGCCGGTGGTCTAATGGTTAGCTCGCGTGCTCCATGTACAGAGGCCGTAGTCCTTAAAGCGGACGGCCTGGGTTCAAATCTAATCTCTGGCTCCTTTCCCGCATGTCATTCCTCACGCTCTCTCCCCAATTCTAACTCCACATGTCCTGTCTTTCCAATAAATGCACGAAAATCCACACAAATAAATATCTTAACAAAATAAACTCTTCACAGTCAAAGCTTTCACGAGATATGATTGTTTATGCAATGTTCCTGAAAGTACTGGTTCTGGTTTCATGTAATATTGTCCATTCATTTCCCCCTAAAATTTCAGCTTCAGTCATTTTAATGATACTTTTATTTGTAATAGGAGGAATTTGACCTTCACTGCTTCTGTTTTGCACAATGTAGCTTGAATCGGCGGAAATGATCACAATAATTTGTTTTTAAAGCCATCAGACCAAAACCTCTACTTGTTGAAATTAAATGAAACCTTAGAAACCCTTTAGAAATCACACAGAAGAATGTTTCAGATAGTTTGATTGTCACAAATTTAATTTTCCAGAATATCTTTCCTTCCTGACGCATGCTCACCTCTTGGTCCTCGTTGTCTACGGTCATCTTGTAACACAAGAAATCTTCATTCCTAAGAGATTACACCTCAACAAATTATTCTCTCGCTCGCTTCTCTATTGTCAGACTCGTCTAGAAGTTTTTACATTTGCTGCTCCCACTTTTTCACTATCAAGGCTTAAAAACCATCTACCTGCTGCTCATGAGTGAAGAACAACACAGCCTCTGAATTTAATTTAAAGTCAAAATAAATCCACTGATTGCTTTCGCACAAAAATGGTCCAATCATTTCTCTTCAATCTTGTTTCTACAGGTACGGTGACCATGGAGCCTTTTACAAGTTTACTACCAGCACAGGAAAGAGTCTTCCTCTCTTTTACGTCTACGACTCCTACCTGACTCCACCAGAGTCCTGGTCTGAGTTCTTGACTCCCACCGGCTCACACAGTGTGCGCGGCTCAGCCTACGACTCCATCTTCATCGCCCTGATTGTGGAGGAGCGGCACAAGCACGACATCCTCGCGGGCGGCTTCGACGGCATGTACTCGTACTTCGCCTCCAACGGTTTCTCCTTCGGCTCCTCTCATCAGAACTGGAAGGCCATCAAGGCTTTTTGTGACGGCAACAACCTGCTCTTCATCCCCAGCGTCGGACCGGGTTACATCGACACCAGCATCCGGCCGTGGAACAACCACAACATGCGCAACAGGGTGAACGGGCGCTACTATGAGACGGCCCTGCAGGCGGCGCTGAACGCGAGGCCCGATATGGTCGCCATCACGTCTTTTAATGAATGGCACGAGGGGACGCAGATAGAGAGGGCGGTGCCTAAAAAAACAGTGACCCGTGTGTACCTGGACTATCAGCCTCATGGACCCGATCACTACCTTGAGCTGACTCGGAACTGGGCTGAGCAGTTCAACAAGGAGAAGGAGCAGTGGCTCATGTGAGCGCTCATCAAAGTGACTTAACACAGCATGCTTTAGTGGAAGTGTGTTTACGTGAAAGAGTCAAGTGAATGTAGAGATTGATCTGTATGGATGTGAGTGCATAAGGACATGCTTTTAACTTTAACTTTGATTGACTTGACTATGGGAGAGTTTCTGCAGGCGTGTTTAAATCTGCACACATGCTGATCTGAGAGAACACGACTCTGTGTTGGTGACACAAAGTTTGTTTTCAGGTAAAGCTGAATTCTGCAGAATTGTTCCATTTTCTAAAAAAAAAAAAAAAAAAAAGAAAAGGACACTCTTTCACTTGAGCCACTCCATAAATGGGTGTGGGTGCTTTTAGAGACGGAACTTACACGTACAGGATATATTTCAGTGGACTCCTTCTCTCAGACAGGATCCAAAGAGAGTACTGGAGCACACAAATCACTTGTGACTAATGTATTAACGTGCAAATAAATTTGCTTTAAGTGATTCATGGGCTTTTTACTAGGGCCCAATGTGGGATTTTTGGGGCCGATATCGATATTGGGGAGAGAAAAAAATACAAAACCGATATATCGTCCGATATCTTTCTTAGATCTATGTTCAATCTGTAGAGATAGATAGTTATAGACATTTATTCTGTTGATCCCTCAAATGCAGGTATCAAACACTTGTGGAAAAGCTATACAATATAACGTAGACAAAATGGCTGCTTGACACTCTGGTGATAATGCTTGTTGTGGCACATATAGCACACTCAGTCGGCGAAAGAGAACTGCTAGTTTAATACAATGAAACTCAAATGAAATGCCATTTGACTAGGGAATAAATCTAGTCATATCGGAGAATATCTGCAATAAAATTAACCAATAGTCAGTCTATTATTGGCCGATATTATGGTCTTGCCAATTAATTGGTCGGCTCTACTTTTGTCTTTATTGTAAAGATAAGGACAGCAGATAGTTGGAATTGAATTGCGGGAAAGGAACCACAGGTCGGATTTGAACCCAAGCCGCCTGCTGCGAGGACTACAGCCTCTGTACGTGGGGCGTGCGCCCTAACCACTTGGCCATCGGTGCCCAGTGCTCCAGTACTCTTTTAGGGATTCTGCCTGAGAGAAGGAGTCCTCTGAATTATATTTCTATTTTCTATTGACAGTCAAGACCTCTGAAATGTTCCGTAGGACTGACTTTGATCTCTTTTGATTTAATGTGACTTACTCATCTCAAACACATCCGCTATCTAAGAAGTTCCTGTCATATTCATAAATACTATGTCACCATGTGAGAGCCTCATTTCCCTCTGTGCAGTTAAACATGGGAAAATGGAAATTATTTCAATTCTGCAAATCTTTAGTGGTTCTGCTTTCACACATAGCCGGCTCTCTCATGTGTTAGACACTTATGTTGGTCTTTCTGCTCAGAGAGCTCTTCAGAAATGGTGATCAAATGATGTTTAAAAGCAATAAATAGCTTTGACCACACGAGCGAGGAGAGGTTTTATTACAGTGTGTTTTAGTCATGAGTAGGATGAAATTAGAGAAACAGACTAACAGTTGAGGAAAAAAAAAAATTCTGGCTGACAAAAAAGATCCCGATAGATACTATTTCTCTCTTTGATATGAAGCTCCAGCCACAGCCTGTTGGCTTAGCTTAGCATAAAGTCTGGAAACAGGGAAACACCGAGTGGATTTGTTATATTTTGGTTTCTTTCTTTACAAGTACGAGAAAGTCTATTTTTTCTCAAAATGAAACTGCTGTTTTATTGTGAAAATTTCATCTGTGAATATATTTTTTTGTACTGGAAACACAGTAACAATAAACTTAACACTTAAACTTGATAGAACATAAAAGTCAGAATTGGCTAAAACGCTCCAAATAAATCCGGACCTAATTCATCTGAATGTCGGGGTGATTGTTTCAATGGAAATAAACCATATAAGAAGGAGGTGGGGCATCTTACCTTCTTCTTCAAAGGAAAAAAAAAATAAAGGAATGAATCAGATATTAAAAGCTTAAGATGTGACTGCATGAACAAAAAGGTTCCTCTGACTGTGGCTCTCTGCTTAAAAGATTTGAAGAAATCCTGCTGTCCATTTGAGTAAAAGACAGACATTTTTTGTTTTTGCTCTTTGGTGTTTCTCTGGGTGTGAAGGGGGCTTCAGAGTAGTTTTAGCTAGTTTTCTGTATTTCACACACTGCTGGAAAACCAATGATGATTTCAGAAATTAAACAGAAGAACGTTTCAGATAGTTTGATGTGCCTGTGAAAAGGCGGGAAAAACTTTTATTGTGGCGGGGCCAAGGTTGTAAAAGCCATAAAACAAAGTTACACCAGGAGACCAGAATTAAAAACAAATGTTACAGCTTTGAACATTTGAACACAACACTTTTGTTGACAATTCATCCAAACCTACCCTGAAATATTACAGTGTTTTGCATCTTGTAGATGTTATGTTCTCTAGATTAAGCAACCGACTTTACATGACTTAGGTAAAATAAAACAAGGGATTGATAATTGAATAGATACTTCTGGGCACAAAATAGGTTATATATATTATTGATGACACTCCCATCTCCCAAGACTTATTCAGGCTATAGAAATATGTGTGACCACTACAACTCAAACCTTTGCAGAAATATTACATCCAATTAAACACTCAAAACATCGTTAACTCGGGTTTGCCACATTCTTACAGTTTAACTTTAATGCAAACAATTCCCTAACTGAATAGCTTTACTAGTTCTATGTTTCTGAAGAAATGGTTAAGATAAAAAAGCTTTATTCATCCCATGACAGTAGAGACATCGAGGCGGAAAATAGAGAAGAGAGTCCAAACCTCAGAGCAGCCACCATCGAGCATCAGAAGTTTTAACGCTTCGACTTTCCCCGAGTTCAGTTCTTTCCCGGGACAATCATTCTTCCATGTGTGCATGAAAAAAGGGACACATCATTTCAGAGGAACCCCGGGGATGGAAGTCGGCTGTGCGTCTCAGTGTGCGTTGTGGAGTGCGCAAAGTTCAAAGATCATGCTTCCCCTGGGTCCTCTGACAGTCCATATTTATGCTCCAGCACGTCAACCGTAGAGGAAAGGGCACTGGAAAGAGAACATACAGTCATTTCTTGTTTAATGTAGCGACTCTCCTGCACACTTCAGATGTGAGAGGTTTGAAGGTTGGGGCGGCGCATCGTTTGTGGAGAGAACATGACATTAACTGTGGCTATTTTTTGGTTAAGCAGTTACTGTAAAAAAACCTTTCCTGCTTTCTGTGGTCATGATATTCAAATCGCAAGTCTGCACATGATTCATCTCAGCAGGCACAGAAGACGGATCATCCTGCCACTGATGGACGACTGTGTTTTTTTTAATGACACAGCAGAAAGCCGTAACACTGGCAGGTGCTGAACGCAGGTGGATCTTTCTGAGAAATTAACCTTTGGCACAGAAATGACTGAGCCATGCAGGAGATGAGAAAAACCTGGAGGAACGGTCGCACCACTCTTCAGTCTTGGGTTTATTCGCTCGTCTTACATTAAATTAATTTGAAGTCTGGACAATGGCAAAATGTGAGAATCTGTGTGATCTTTTGGCTGAAGACAGAATAAGGTTTAAGGTACACATACCCAAAAAAAAACTTTCACAGGAGATGGATCAAAAATCAAACTGAAGGAAAAAAAAATCAAGAAAGGATCCACACACTGTATTAACAGTAGGGCGGACACCGATAGTAGGGAGAAAAACTCAGATACCGATTTATATATAATAGCCGATATCTTTCTTAGATCTATTTCAATCTTTAGATTTAGATATATACACATTTATTGTGTTGATCCATCAATTGCAGATATCAAGCACGTGTGGAATAGATATATAACAAAGCAAAGAGCGTCACAAACTGGAAAATAACTGCGCATGTACATGCATCACCACTTGACACTTTGGAGAGTGATAATGCTTGTTGTAATCCGTATAGCACCCTCTGCTGGAGACAGCCAGGAAGAGAAATGCTAGTGTAATAAAGCGATGCTCAAATGAAATGCTATTTGACTGGTGAAAAAAAATCTAAATATCGGCGCATATCTGCGAAATTTAGCTGATACCTATAGTCAGTGGATATGCTAATATCATCCGATACACGGCCGGGCTCTACTTTTGATTTCTTTATTGTAAAGACAGGACAGCAGTTAAGAGTCAGAATTCAGGGACATAGAAAGTTGGGATCGAAAAATGCGATGAAGGAGCCGCAGGTGGGATTTGAACATGTGTGCCCATGAGGTCAATAACTAATCAGAACACAATCGTTTTTGTACCAGGCTTTAAAAGTGTTAATGTCTGCTGTAAGAAAAACAGGCTTTTTTTGAATGTGGTGTGTATGCGACTTCATGGAGCCAGCCTCAAGCCGACACTCGACAGACTGCAGGATTTTGCTCTTCCAACCCCGGAGGTTGCTGCCTGGCATCAACTATCACTCTCCAAACTGCTGATAGCATACTCTAGGCCTTGGAGGAACTTAGTTCAGTTGATTTTTTTTTCCTTTCACACATACTTAACACTTATTTATAATCAGTGTGTAGTGTGCGGAACTAGGAGAAGGCAAATGTTTAGAAATGTAGAAATAATTATTCTATTGATGTGCCATGGTGACTGCATCAGATATCATCAGTGCTGCATCAGTGTCAACACAGATCGTTCTGATCAATACTTATTGATGACTGACATCTGAACCTTCACTCTGTAGGGACAGTGTGGTGCAGCTTTGTTACATGGAAGTACAATCTGACCTAAATGACATTCATGTTAAACGATAGATTAAAAAGTTGCTTACAAATGATATAATTTCAAATATAATTAGCCTGAATGATTTGCATGGATAGAACTATTATGACAATGTCACATGTCTCTACAGTAAGTGAAAGCTGAACATCATGAACTCACCAGCCGGGTCTGATGATGCGGTATTTGCCGAGTACTGACAGGTCGACCACTGTTGATCCGAGGCGGCTCTCGTCTCCTATTGGTCCTCCATCCACAACCACTGCTAGCTTCGGCCAGAGCTCCTGGAACTCCTTCACAGAAAGAAACAGCAGCATTAAAGAGTAAAATTACAACTAGTTTGACTTTATTGAGAAAGAGATACAAGGAAGAGAAACACGCTTCCAAACTGAATCTACGAGCTAGGAAGGGGACTAAATAACATTGGAAAACCCTATCCTAACATTGCCTAAATTATTTTTCCTCCCACACACTTACATGTACGGCCACAGTGCTGGTGTGTGAGCTGATGTTTGCGCTGGTGAGGGCGAGTGGT